AACATCACATCACAATATACAAACTATATATCCTTAAATCAACAAATCATACCTGGTTTTACCGTTCATTCGTCAGTCCATTTGTAACAATTCAATAATCTAAATCATTGGATTTTGACTCTAATAAGTACTCAAGCAGCATTTTTCTTACTTTGCCTATTTGTACATTTCAATTATTATTGATAGAAATATTTTGTTGATGGTTTGTGTGTGTGGTGAAATTGACATTTACAAATAAAGAGCTAACCCTTCCAAACCTACCTAATATGCAGGCTGAGAGGGGATCTGACTGCTCTCTCTAAATATACCGTGGGGAAAACACCAGGGAGTGAGAAGAGCTATTGAAGCTAAAGGACAATGTTGGCACAAGAACAGATGGGGACAAACTGGCCAGGAATCAATGTAGGCTGGAAATGAGAAAGTTCCTGACCATCAGAGGAGGGAGGTTGTGGAACAGCCTCCCACTAGGAGCAAACACCCTAACTGGTTTGAAGATGGATCTGAGTAAGTCTCTGAGTAGGATTCCATGATGACCTCAGTGACCCAGGAGGGCCCTTCCAGTTCTAAGTTTCTTGGAGACATATTAAAGGGGCTGGTTTTCAGAGGGCAGGCGCTCAGCATCTTTTGAAAACCAGCCCGCTATAAGAGGGGTCTCAAGCTGATCAACCAAAAAAAAAAAAATCACTAGTCGCTTTTGAAAAATCTTGGCCACATTCAAGTGGAACCATGAGCTTCTTGGCTGGATGCAGGAAACACTGGGTGAGGTTTTTCTGGTCTGTGTTATACAGGAGGTCAGACTAGAATGATCTAATGGTCTCTTCTAGCCTTGAAATCTATGGGCAACTCAGAGCCATAGATTCATTTAGGACATCTAATTTCTGGCCTCGCCGTGGGAACCGTTGTCCATTACAGAGTCCTAGATCCCAAGGCTAGAAGGGACCGTTGTGATCATCTAGTCTGACTTCCTGTGTCTCATAGTCCAGAGAACTTCCCTGAATTAATCCCTGTTTGAACTAGAGCAGATCTTTTAGAAAAACATGATTTTAAATGTGCTGGTGATGGAGAATCCACCATGACACTTGACAAATTGTTCCAATGGCTAATTACCCTCAGTGTTAAAAAATTGTGCCTTGTTTCTCGTCGGAATTTGTCTAGCTTCAACCTCCAGCCATTGGATCGAGTCAGACCTTTCGCTGCTAGCCTGAAGAGTGATTTGTTCCCCATGGAGATACTTCTAGACTGTAACCAAGTCACCCCTTAACCTGCTCCTGGTTAAGCTAAATAGACTGAAGGAGCTCAATCTATCCTTATAAGGCAGGTTTTCCAATCCTTTCATCATTCTAGTGACCCCTCATAATCCTTCTTCTCCGACACCTCTCCAATTTATCAACATCCTTCTTGAACTGTGGTCACCAGAATTAGTACCACTACTCCAGCAGCAGTCGCACCAGGGCCAAGACAGAGCTATGCAAGATCTTATTGCACTTCCTGCGGAGACTGCTCTGCCACGTGGGTCCTGGCATGTTTGCTGAGCTTGGAGCTGTCGATGAAACTCCTCCCACACTGGGTGCATTTATAGGGTCTCTCTCCTGTGTGGGTGCGCAGGTGTTTGACCAGGGTGGACTTCAGATTGAAGCACTTCCCACACTCGGGGCATTTGTAGGGCCGCTCTCCACGATGGATCCTCTGGTGCTGGATGAGGTTGGCGCTCAGGTTGAAGCTCTTCCCGCACTCCGTGCACTCGTAGGGCCGCTCCCCGGTGTGGATGCGCAGATGCTTCCCCAGCGACGAGTTGAGGCCGAAGCTCTTCCCGCACTCGGGACACTTGTAGGGGCGCTCGCCCCGGTGGATCCGCCTGTGCTGGATGAGGGTGGAGCTCTGGGTGAAGCACTTCCCGCACTCAGTGCACTTGTAGGGCTTCTCCCCCGTGTGGGTGCGCTGGTGCTTCACCAGGTTGGAGCTCTGGCTGAAGCCTTTCCCACAGTCCGAGCATTTGTAGGGCCGCTCGCCCGTGTGGGTGCGCTGGTGCTGGGCCAGGTTGGAGCTGCTGCTGAAGCCCTTCCCACAATCAGAGCAGGTATAGAGCTTCCCGGGCAGGTGGGATCGCAGGTGCTGAGGGAGGGAGCTGAGGCTGAAGCTCTTCCCGCACTCAGGGCAGATGTAGGGCTGCGAGCCCATGTGGGTGCGGACATGCTTAGCCAGCGTGTGGCTGCGGTTGAAGCTCTTCCCACATTCAACGCACTGGTAGGGCCGCTCCCCGGTGTGGATGCGCTGGTGCTGGGCGAGGTGGGAGCTCTGGCTGAAGCTCTTCCCGCAGTCGGGGCAGTTGTAGGGTCGCTCCCCGGTGTGGATCCGCTGATGCTGGACAAGGTGGGAGCTCTGGCTGAAGGATTTCCCACAGACAAGGCATTTATAGGGTCTCTCCCCCATGAAGGTGGTTTCCAGAATAATGATGTTTTCAGGGATCCCATAAGCTTCACACTCATCAGGTCTCTCCTCCACGGAGTCTCCCTGCTGCCATCCTGGCCGGCCAGCATCTCTCCGCTCGGGGCTCTGGGGCATCCCGTGTGGGTCCGCTCCCATACACTCTTCCTGCTGGGGATTCTCCTCCGCTTCTGCACCTGCTGGGAAACAGAGAGAATCCAGACAAGGCTCTTCCCCAGCAGAACCGGCCCCTCCTCAAAGCCCTCAGAGAAAGGCTGGGGAAGGGGAGGGCTCCTACCAGAGGTGGGAGCCAGGAGTCACACCTGGAGGACAGGGACCTGCGGGAGACGATACTGAGCAAGACCAGAGAGAACCGGGAGGGTTCCAGGCAGCTTTGCTGGGATCCCTTCACTGCCCTGAATTGCCAAACTAACCTATGTAATTTGATGCCAGTTTTACTACTTCAAGGCTCCTCCGGCTTTGTGGCTCACTGACACTTGGGCTGCGGTTCTCTGGCCTGGGTTTGGCAGGACGTCAGACTAGCTGACCAGCAAGGCTCCTTCTGGCCTTCCCCCATCTATGGCTCTAGCATGGCACCCCGGGGTGCTGGCTGCTAATTCATGGAGGGTCCCCTAGCCAGCCTCATTCCTTTGTCACCTGTGCAAGTGACAGCTAAGGTCTCCCTTTCCTCGGTGCCCTGGAGATTCCGGACACACGGCTCGTCCCCGTGCTCCATCCCGGAGATCCCGGAGTCAGGGACCAGGAATCCTGCCTGCAAGGGAGGAAAGAGAGGAAGTCCTGGTTTGATAAATTACCATTAAACCCTTCAAAAAGCCACCCCAAAACTCCCACCCCGGGCTGCCCCGGAGCTGGGGGGTCTCTCCGGTCCCAACTGCAGGTCGGGCTCGGATCCCCTGGTCTCTGCAGCCATTTCTCCGGGCAGCGATTTGCTGCCTCTGCTGCTGCTTCGCTCCCTGCCCCCAGAGCTTCCTCCGGCGGCGCTTCTCCGCGCCTCCCCGGTGCCCCGCTCACCGCCGGGCCGGGCCGGGCCGATCCCCTCCGGACCCCGGGGCACACAGGGAGCCGGAGTCGGGGGCGCTGGGACAGGAAGGTCCCTGCGCTATTTGCGGCCCCGCTTATGGCCCCGCCTGGGAAGGGGAGGGATTAAGAAATTGGTGGTTTTAACCCCTAAGGCTCCTTCAGTGCATGTCCCAGCACCGTCCCTCTGGCTTCCCTGCGCCTCCCGAGCGTCCGCCCGGCAAACCCGGGCTGGGGGGGGTCTTGGATGGGAACTCTGCAAGTGCACACACACGGCTGCATGCACACAGTCCACA